AAAAAAAAAACAGAATATAAGGATTTTTAGCCTAGCCCTACATATAGCAACTGACCATACCAAAAATTATATAACAATTAGTCCCTTTGTTTACCAGTCACAAACTCACAAGAACAAGATCTGATTGGTTTGTCCTCTTGACTTTATATTTTTTTGTTAGATTTTCTTGACGCAAAGTCAAACATAGTTTATGATACTATTTTTTTGGGTTAAGAAAGAAAAGTCTCGTGCTTCATTCATTTCTCTCAAAAATCTATGGTATCTCCATTGTTATTCATCAAAGTATCTGCCTTTTTCTTCTCTCTCAACACCGTCCTTTATTTTCTTTCCTCCTTTAGAAATCTCCGCCTATAACTTTACCCTTATCCACTAGGAATCGGGCGTTTTTTCCGGGTTTAGAATCACCGGAAAAATGGCTTTCCGGCGAGTATCTGCCACTGTTATTCTCTTCCTCTACTTACTGGTTACATCTCAGTCTCTCGATTTCAACAATTTTCGAAAACCCCATAAGATCGATGGACCAATCAAGACCATAGTCGTTGTAGTTATGGAGAATCGCTCTTTCGATCACATCCTCGGTTGGCTCAAATCGACCCGGCCCGAAATCGATGGGTTAACCGGTAAAGAGTCGAATCCTCTCAACGTCTCCGATCCGAATTCAGAGAACATCTTCGTCACCGACGATGCAGTCTTCGTGGATATGGATCCGGGTCATTCGTTTCAGGCGATCCGAGAACAGATATTCGGATCGAACGATACTTCCGGCGAACCGATGATGAACGGATTCGCGCAGCAATCGGAGAGTATGGAGCCAGGAATGGCGAAAAACGTCATGAGTGGATTCAAACCTGAGGTTTTACCTGTTTACACTGAGTTAGCGAACGAGTTCGGGATATTCGATCGGTGGTTCGCGTCGGTACCGACTTCGACTCAGCCGAATCGGTTCTACGTTCACTCAGCTACTTCACATGGATGTTCAAGCAACGTGAAGAAAGATCTCGTGAGAGGGTTTCCTCAGAAGACGATCTTCGATTCGTTAGAAGAGAACGGACTCAGTTTTGGGATCTATTACCAGAACATTCCTGCTACTTTCTTCTTTAAATCTCTTCGTAGGATCAAACATTTGGTGAAATTCCATAGCTATGCGCTTAAGTTCAAGCTCCATGCGAAACTCGGGAAGCTTCCGAATTATTCCGTTATTGAGCAGAGGTATTTCGATATCGATCTTTTTCCGGCGAACGATGATCATCCGTCGCATGATGTTGCGGCGGGTCAGAGGTTTGTGAAGGAAGTTTACGAGACGCTACGGAATAGTCCACAGTGGAATGAGATGGCTTTGCTGATTACTTATGATGAACACGGTGGGTTTTATGATCATGTTCCGACTCCGGTTAAAGGTGTGCCTAACCCTGACGGAATTATTGGACCCGACCCGTTTTATTTCGGGTTTGATCGGTTGGGTGTTCGGGTCCCTACCTTCATTATCTCTCCCTGGATTGAGAAGGGCACTGGTATGTGATTTGTTCAAATGCGTATCACTATTGAACTATCATGGCTCTTACCAATTACAGATTCTTCTTGATGATTGAGTTTAGATTGGTCTTGAGTATTGAAAGTTTGATGCTTGGACTCTTTTCATTTTTAGTGGCATTACATTGTTCATGTTTGTCTCATTGGTTTGAGTTTAATTACTTACTTGAATCTGCTTTACATCATTAGATGTAATTTCTGATGCTTTTTTTCAAGGCTCATGGATAAGTCTTTAAGCATATGTTAAAGCTTAATTGTGTGTGTGTGAATCGGTTTTTGTTACTCTGTCTTTGTGATTTTTGACAAGGCTGGTGTTGGGGTTGATTTTGTTGTAGTGATACATGAGCCTGATGGTCCAACACCACATTCACAGTTTGAGCATTCTTCTATACCCGCAACCGTGAAGAAACTCTTCAACCTAAAGTCGCACTTTTTGACTAAGAGAGATGCATGGGCTGGTACATTTGAGAAATACTTCCGTATCCGATATTCTCCTCGCCAAGATTGTCCAGGTTTAGTTCTTGTTGCTCTGAATCCTTACATTAAGTACTCTTTATACTCTCCTGAAATTTCCTTTAATGGAAAAAACACACGGACCTTGATGATGTGCTTACTCCTCTTTGAGTTATGGAATAGAATTCTCTGTCTAACTTTCATTTCCGTTTCCGACATGAACGAACGCAGAGAAACTAGCGGAAGTGAAACGATCATTGAGGCCATGGGGAGCTAAAGAAGACTCAAAGCTCTCGGAGTTTCAGGTGGAGCTGATCCAACTCGCTTCCCAACTCGTCGGAGACCATCTCCTAAACTCATATCCGGACATTGGGAAAAACATGACAGTAAGCGAAGGCAACAAATACGCAGAGGATGCTGTTCAGAAGTTTATAGAAGCAGGGAAGGCTGCACTGGAAGCAGGAGCCGACGAAAACACTATAGTCACTATGAGGCCGTCTCTGACGACCAGAACCAGTCCCATTGAAGGGACCAACAAGTATATTGGAAACTATTGAAATCTATAAATCAAGAAATGGATTATATATGTAAATAGATGTTTACAAGTCCTAATGTTCCCACTTTACTTAGATGCATTTATAATGTGGGAAAACCAACCATATAATTTGTAATGGATCAAACATGTAATGTGGATTCTGGCATCCATCTCCTCCATAGTTGGAATGGATTGAAACTTCCTGTAATTGCTAATATATATGTATCATTATCCAAAGATAGATAAAAATAACATGAACAATAATTCAACACTCCAAGAAAGTGAT